TTGTTGCCCAGAATTGTCTTTGCTATTCTGGGTCTCTTCTGGTTCCACATGAATTTTAGGATTATTTTCTCTAATTCTGTGAAATACACTATTGGAATTTTGATCGGGATTGCACTAAAACTGTATAATAGTTTTAGAAGTACGGCCATTTTCATCATACTGGTTTTTCCTACCCAAGAGCAAGGGACATCTTCCCACTTTCTGAAACCTGCTTCAGAGTATTATAATTTTCAATGTAAAGGTCTTTTACATTCTTTTTACATCCGGATTCCTAGGTGTTTCATTTCTTGGATGCTACTGTGAAAGATGTTGTGTCCCTAATTTCTGCAAGCTTTTTGCTTCTGCACAGGAATGCTACTGATTTTTGAGTAATGACTTTGTATCTAGGTACATCCCAAAGTTTTAACACATTCTCACCAGCTTAAGTGAGTGATATACACATGACTGTCACATCGGGTGGTTTGTGCCTCTGGAGGTACAAAAGAATCTAATCACCTTTGTTGGATTTTTTATTAATAACATGAAAAGACACCTGATGGGACAGTTATATGTGTATCACCAGTGATTCAAGCCACCCAGCTGCAAGACATAAATTATGGTTCCATCATGAATATGTTAAAGGATTCATTGGCTTTCAAAAGCTCTTCACAACTTCTCACTGAATTCTTTCTCCAAGGTAAGACCAATGTTGTCATCAAAGAGTGAGGACAGTGATACCACAGAGCCAGAGGGTTTTCAAGGTCACTCAGAAGGTCAGGAGGCAAGACCAACAGGACAAAACTCTGGATCCTATTGTACAGCAAACAGTCTACACAAAAAGCAAAACCTGGTATTGCTTTCATGAGTATGATGTTCTCGAATTCAAAACATGAGGGTCCATTGCCAACATTTCATATCTCCAATTTCCCAAACCCCACAGCCCAGAATAATAAGCTACTTTATAAAAAATTAAGGAAGCTCTTGTTGTATTGCCTAACACTTGATCTCAAAACAAACTGTTCATTTGACTCACTTATATATAATCCTTTTAAAATATTTTCTCAAAGATCCAAAGTCCACAAATCCATAGCCTAGAAGAGATATTGAAAAGTCCCAAGTCTATTCTCATGACACCAGAGTATTCCACACCTTAATGACTAAGAAGACAGAGCTGTCAATTCCATCCTTGTTGGTTAATCTCCAAGGATGGAGAATTCATAGCTTCACTCCCTCTTCCTTCTGCAACACATCCACAATCATGAATTTCTTGTAGTGGTTACCTTTTTCAGTAGAACACACATTGACATCTTTTTTTTTTTTTTTTTTTTCTGCTCCCTACCAGGCTTTCAAATTCTCTACCTTCTCTTTGCATTTGTGGGGACCCAAACTAAGCAAGACATTCTCTCCAGAAGCTCAACTAGGACTTTGCATCAGATGCCTGATCTTACCAATCACAAGCTCTGACTCCCATGGGTTCCAAACCTATCATCAGGAAGGCGCCTACTCAGCCTACTCAGGCATGGTTCCACTTCAGACACCATTCAGGGCTATGCCTCCAGTATATCTAGATGCAATCCCCTACTCCAAGATCTCAGGCATCAGGAATCCAATCTTTCACTATTAGTCACACTTTGGCAACACAGCAGAGACAGATGGGGAATGTGGTGCTCAATTACCTTGGCTACCTGAGCAAATAGATTTGCTTTACAGTGTTCTTGTTCTCTTTCAGAAAAATAACAAAAACAAACAGCTCAAAAAGAAAAAAATTAAATCTGCCAGCCCAATAAAATACGCTTCTACCCAAAGCAGCTGGGAAATGCACCAAAACTCTAATTCCAATGTAGAATCTGCGATGCTTAAGGGGAGAAAAGTCTATCCTTTTGGCTCTTGGTGTTGCCTACGACAGGGTCTGCTCTGTCCCTACAAGACTTTCTGGGGCCAGTCAACAGAAAGCTGAGTCTTCGGCTTCTTTGCTAATGCAGGATGCTCTCGCCAAACAGATCAGGACTGGATTCCATCTCTACTTTCTAGCTTTATGACCTTAGAGAAGTGTTCAATGTACTTAAGTCTCTCTCTTTATCAGCAACTCAGGGATAACTAATCTGATGTGACAACTGCAAGAACTAAATGCATTAATGTGTCAATTATTCCTATTCTTCCTTGAGTGCACACCAATCATATGCCCTGGGGTAAAGCAGAGATGATACAAGGAAAAGAACACTGCGCCATGTAGTGTCACACTTTTTAATTCCTTACTTTTCATTCATCTTATACAGGTCATTTAGACAAGTTATTTCCACAACAAATCAAGATCATGAGAAGATAGTCTTATTCTTGGAAATGGTACAAAAATACAGAAATGAAAAAGATTATTTGAAATTGAATCCAAGAGAGAAAAATTTTTCTTTGCACATCTCTTAAATTGTATTACACTCTTCTTCAAGAAGCTCTAAAATGTCTCCAGTGCCCTGGGCCAGTATTTCCTAAACAGTGTTGCACAGAACATTAGTCCCTTGAGATAATCTTTGAAAACTCTTCTGTGTCCAACTATGATTTCCAGAGGCATGGTAATGCATCCCCATCTTAGAGGCTCAGAATGCATATCCACACAGAGGCCCTGAGAAACACTGTCTAAAAGGCAGATGCTTAACTTGATTAATCCAGACTCATCTGACCACACTGGTCACTCTGCTAATAGGATACACAAAACACACCCAAGCTGCCAAAGGCCTCACTTTGTCTCTAACTCCAGCCCCAAAACTCGCTATAGATCCACTCATCATGTAGGTTAAACCTGCCTAGGTCCTGTTCCCAGTCCCCACCTTTTTGTTTATAACTACTTTAGTGATAGTACAAATAAGTCACTCAGTTAAAATACATAACACAATGGTTTCTAGAACACTTGCAGAGTTGTGTACCCCTCAACATACGATCATACCCATCAGAAATCAGTTATCTCCCCTCAAGCCTCCAACTATTAATCTATTTCTGTACCAATGAGGCTTGCTTATTCTTACTGTTTCATATAAATTACACCATATACTTCGTGGCCTTTTTCCTCAAGTTTCTCACTCTTTTTTCAAGGCTCACCAATATGGTAGCAGGAGTCAGATCTTTGTTCTTTTCTATGATCAAATAATGTCCTTATGTACATCTTCACTATTTTGCTTATTTATCAAGAAATAGACATTTAAGTTGCTTTCACTTTTTGGCTCTTGGGAATAATGCCACTATGAACATTTATAGCTTTTCAGACTAAATATGAGGGGATATATATGAGCTGAGTCACTAGGACTAGGTCATATGAGAATACTACACTGAACCTTTTGAAGAATTCCAAAGACTAGTTTCTAAAGTGGCTGCATCAACTTACATTTCTATTAGCAGTGTATGAAGATTTTCACTCTCCACATCCTTGCCAATACATGCCATTTTTTTATTACAGCCATCCCAGTAGTAGGAATGGTATCATCTCATTGTAGTCTTATAACCATGCTTTTTGATGTCTGCTCTCATGGTTATGGAATTTTATCTACCTAGGTGCCTTTTCAATCTGCATCCAACCAACTCATCCAGACACAGCTAAAACCCTGCAGTTTCCCTGGAATCTGCAAACTCATTCAAGTGACACTAGGGCACAGCTTCTATTTACATTTCCTGCAACTGGGGGCTTTTGCCTTATGTCTTCTGTTTCCAAACAGACAGTGAACTCCTTAAGAAGTAGAATGAAGGAAGTGGCCTCTACATCTATAAACAGATGGATAAAGTATGACATTTATACATCATGGGATAGTACTCTTTCATACAGAAAAATAAATTTGAGTATCTGTAGGAACATGCACATTCCTTAAGACCACAATGCTGGGTGAAATATCACATGGTTTCTCTTGAGAAACTCAAAAATAAAGATCAAAATAGAAGAAAGATACCAGGAAATATGGAGATAGGCTTTTATTTTTCAAAATGGAAGGGGACCCGGAGATGGAGGGGAAGAGAGAAAAAAAAGGAAAGGGATGAAAAAAGTTTTCACATGTACAGGTACCAGCTTCCCCATACAAATGTAATCATTATGTACTCCAACCATGTACTAATAAAAAATAATTTTTTTTAATGGAGTGAGAATTTTAAAAAGTGCAATGAGCTCTTACATTTCTTACTTCATAAATGTTTACTAACACAATTTAATGTGGGGGCTCAGGCTATAGTTGAAACAAGTAAAAATAAATGAGGGAGAGGGCAAATAAGTGAAGATGGTTGTAAAAATCACTCTTTTGGGCTGGTAAGATAGCTCAGCATACTAAGTGCTTGTTTAGGCAAGCACAGGGCCTGGGCTTCCATCCTTGGCACCATATGCTGTGCCAGCCTCACCCCCAGGCACACTGAACAGGCCACCATGACCTGGAATGGTGGTGCATGCCTGCAATCCCAGTGCTGAGGTGGCTGAAAGCACGAGGATCACTATGATCTGAGCTGCATAGTGAGACTCTGTACCAACTACATTAATAAAGTCATTCTCTTGTACCTGGGTATGGTGGTATATGTCTGTAACCTCAGCACTTATGACACAGAGGCATGAGGATTATCACTAAGTTCAAGGCCAACATGGACGACATAGTGAGTTCAAGCCAGCTGGCACTACATAGTGAAACACTGATTCAAAAAACTAAAAGGTCAATCAATCATTCCATCAGTCAGTCACTCCATCAACCAGTCATTCTTTTACTCCAGGGGACTAGGAGGAGGTCCTAAAGAAGCCAAGGAGAAACAAAATGCAAGGAATTTATTCTATAGCTCAAAAATTGAAATAATTCTAAGCAGCTGCTGCTCACTAAGTCTAGGTTCAGGATCATAAGAACAAGACAAAGATAAAAGTCAGGGAGCAGAACTTGGGCTGCTTTGTTTCCCAGATGTTTATTCAATCCCAGTCTCATAGCTCCTTGGTGAGCATGAATAGCAAAACAAAAATGGGAACTCCCTTGTGGCCCTGACTCTCAGGTGAATTGGGCTGAGGTCATTCTCACCTGGCCATCTGCTTGTAGGCTTCTTCTGCCACAGCAAAGATGTGGGGGTCCATGTCGCCCATGTTTTGGCCACTGTAGGCATAGATGACATCTTGTCCATAGATTGGCAACTGCTCATAAGGGTTAATGGCAACAAGCACAATACCTGCAGACAGATAAAGCAGTCAGATTTCTATAGCACAAGAGCCATGTGGCATCAACGTAAGGCATCATTCCTGTACACTGAAACTAAAGAATAAGAGGATAGCAAGATGCCTCTTAAACTAAATTGAGACAGATCTGTGTGCTGCTGAGCTAGGCACTCCTGAATGAGAGTGTTATGGTTTGTGTCTAGCTGTCCCCCAAAGGCTCATATGTGATGGGGTGGCTTCAAGAGTTTGTGATTAATTCATGATCCAATGGATTATGGGTATGAGTGCTACACTTGCCCTGGGGAAATAACCTGGAGGCAGTACAAGAAAGGGAGAGGCTTCCTCTCTGCCACTGTAGCCACTGTGTCTCCCTGTTAGCTCTTAAATGTTTTTCTGTTTTCCACCATGATGAACACCTTACCTTTGCCATGTGCCAGTCTGCCGTGGAGCCAGCTGAGTATGGGCTGAAACCTCCACGAACTGTGAGCTAAATAAACCTTTCCTTCCTTAACTCTAGGTACCAGGTATTTTGTCCCAGCAACGTGAGAAAAGTTACTAAGATGAAGAATAAGATACCTGCAGGCCAAGTCCAAGCCATGTTATAGCCTGGAAGAGCATGTGTCCTTAAACATTGTACACATGCGCACAGCACACTCATAAGTGATCAGACTGAGTCCATAAAACACAGCTATGCAAAGTGTTGCACATTGAAAGAGAAGAGGATTCTATCAACAGGAACTAGAGATTTAAAAACCCATCTAAGAATTAAAACCTGAGATGGCAGCTTTGTGTGTATGGTTATCTTAACTAAAATACAATCTATGGACAGAAAATAAAATCAATGGCTCAGTGGAATAAGCGCTTGCTTAGCAAGTACAAGGACCTGAGTTCAACCCCTGGTTCCACAAAAAAAGAAAGAAAGAAAGAAAGAAAGAAAGAAAGAAAAAGAGAAAGAGAAAGAGAAAGAGAAAGAGAAAGAGAAAGAGAAAGAGAAAGAGAAAGAGAAAGAGAAAAAGAGAAAGGAAAGGAAATCAGCACACTACTTAACCTCTCAGTACCTACACTATAGAATGAGGATGACAATTGCACTGACCTGGGAAATGTGCTGGATAACCCAGTAAATAGGAGGAGGAATACTCAACACCAGTACCTTGCACAGTAAGTACTACGTGTGTTTTTTAACCATATAACATCTCCTATCTTAATTTTCTTATATCTCATGTTCTCTAAAAAGGATGTACTATAATGACGAGTTTAATAAATATTCTGACTGCATAATCAAGAAATCCTGTAAGATTCAGATCACCTTTTATAAATAGGTGGGGCAAATTGATATTGGAGAATATGCCAAGAAATTTGTAAATTCAGTCTCTGAAACAAGACAGAAATATGAATTCTTCTTTCCCGTAAGGTCCTATTTTAGATGTCAGAAGACCCCTGCACTGAGGAACACCACCAGAAGCTTTTCTAGTCACTTGGGGAAGAGCAAGAAAGAACAGTCAGGTTTCCAGCGATGAGAATTCTGCGTCGTGATGCCTCCCGGTGAGAAATGAGGATCCTCAAGCACAATAAATCAGCTTATATCAAGTCAAGACGCAAAAGCCAGAGAAAGAAAGATGTATAAGTCTCTTGGTGTGAAAAGTAGTGGATCAAAAACTGAGGCCCAGAGCCCTCATAAATTCTGTAAAAAGGCTAATCACCTGGAGAATCCTCTTAGGAACATCAATGAAAGTTCTTGTGGTTATTAGAAAGTTCTATAATCTAACTCATGCAGCATTCAATTCACATTTTCACCTCAGACCCTGAGCTTCCATCATCCCCAAGTACTCTAACACTAGCAGCAAGTGGTTCCCTAAGGACTCAGGAAGGGGCTTGAGCTACCGCCGATGCCCAGATGGCTGAGGTCAGAGTTCCTGCAGTGTCTGAACAACCAGAACAACTCAGCAGGATTCCTCACATCATAAGTTAATGATCACTTACCCAGAAAAGGAAGGTTTTTTCCTAAAAAATTCTTACTGAAAGTTCTAATAGCATCTTGTTTCTTTCAAATCAAACTTTCTCTAGCAGTTGGAGTAAAGGAGTTTTGGAAAACTTTCCCTCTCTCCAACACCAAAGTCTAGCAGAATAGCTCACCCTAATCTACTAGCTAACCTGCCAATTCCACACCAAGTTGAACACAAAAGTGAAAAAGCCCACAAGTAGCTCAGGTATCACTGTGATCAGGACTAGCATGAGGGCTCTGCAGCATGACCAGGACACTTTCCACAGAGAAGCTCCCTGGCCCAAGTCCCCCCAAGCATGTTTCAAACCTGCCTCTCAAGCAACAGTTCACGAAGTTTTATTTTTGTTACACTAATTAACAATACTCAAGAGGACTCAAAGGGGGAGAAAGAAACCAGAAATTGGAATATTGGAAAAGGAAAACAAAATGTGATAATTTCAGGAGTTTCTGTTTTAAGCATTTGTTATGAATGTTCTCATTAATTCAACAAAGATTCCTGAAGCATCATGTTTGTACACAAGTAAGTGAAAAGGTCAGAGAGAAAGGCAGCTTTTGAAGGAGGAAGCACAAGCCAAGCACACACGTGTGCATTTGATGGTGAGAGTGTGAACCAGAGCTAGGATGCTGTGATGGACCAACCGACTGCTCGCCTAAGCCAGCTGCCCACTGAGTGTGGTCCATTTCTTCTGTGGTGGAGCTGTGATCAGCATGAGCTATCCTAGTGAGTCCAAAGCAGCTTGTCGCATTCACTGGCTGCAAACCCTCTGAGGGGTTCAGATGAGGGGTACTTGAACCAGAGCATGAAATTAGGATTTTTAAAAACCATTTAATAAACTAACATAAAAATAAAAGGACTTTCAAACACACACAGAAAACACGCGCATGCGCACGCGCACACACACACACATATACACACAGCACACAGATGTCCCCTACTTACCACAATAAGTGTAGATATGGTTGGACTCCAGGAACCGAACCTTCAGGTTATGCAAAACTGCAGGCTCATGGAGATAGCTAAGGGCAGTGAGATCATTTTCTCCCACCAAGATATCTGGATTCCGCAAGAAGGGCAGCTGGTTGCTTTGGATGTCAATTGGGTATTCCTGAATCTGAAGAAAACACAATGAAATACAGTTATGAAACCTGTATTCAATGCCTTATCTTCTTGGCTACAATCACAGCCCTACAATGGCCCTGAGTGCTTAAGATAAACAATGTTTTAAAGAGAGGTAAGATGAACAAAATACCTGTGCTCCCATGAGACATGAGCCTGGATGGAAACTTTACTGATAATATAATCTCAGTGTATCAATATAAAACACGAACACAGGAAATTCAGGAAGCACCACCAGATTTAGGAGGACTTCTGCTGCTCAATAAAGAAAATACTCAGCTTGAAATTCTAGTAGCCATAGGCGTAGCATTTTCTCCTGTGTTGGAGACCTTCCTTGATTGGCTGCATTTATCGCTGAGATTTCTTTACTTGTTGTAGTAAATATTCCTTGATTTGGATTATCTGCAATCAAGGCCCTGTGCTCTCTCAGTGGTCTCTCCCACTTGCTCATTTATTGCTCCGTAACCTGACAGCAACTTGCTCTCAGGCAACAATCCTGCTTTTACCTGAAGTACAGTTAAGAATTTGAGAGAGAGAGAGAGAGAGAGAGAGAGAGAGAGAGAGAGAGAGAGAGAGAGAGAGATTGAACTCAGGGAGCAAGGTTATATATCTTAAGGTCACATCTCAGACGACAGCCTTCTACTACATTCTGACAAATCATTTGGACTATACACATACTCAAAAATGCTTGACAGGACACAATGAGGCTATACACATTGCACAGACAGTAATAGATGAAAGGTAGTGGTAGTATCTTTAAGCATTTAAGCAGGAGGAAGTTCGCTGGTGTTCACCATGTTTTATCTAAGTGTTAAATTTCTAACACTATTCTTAAGAACAATCTGAGAAATTTTCCTGGTCCAGACATTTTGAGAGTTTTTAGACAGGGTCTAAGAATCTGATTTTTAAAAAAATCTTAATTTTTTATATAGATGGCCTACGGATCACATTTTAAGAATTGCTGTTCTATGTAAGACCTTAGGAAATTCCCTAGATACAAACTCAACTTGCTGGGGAGTAACAGTGAATTTTTAAGAGACTGAACTGCCAATGCTATTTAAAAAAACAAATCTTAGTGTAAGTTATAAAGCCCCCAAGTAAAGTACAATGGTTGTGTTACAAAAAACATAGTAGGAGATCCAGAAAAAAATGCAAACACATACAGAAAATTTGTGCATACTGATAAAATTATAAATAGATGGGTAAAATGAATTTTTCAAACAAAAATCATAGATAAACAATTCACTTAGGGAAAAAAATTGATCAAATGTTTTATGCTTTAAAAAATTTAGATGTAAAAAAGTTAAAATAAAGCCAAAAAGAATAAAGATGAAAATCAGCAAATGTTTTCATAAATTTGGGGAACAAAGACTTTTGAAGGAGAATTAAAAAAAAAATCAGAACTACATAGGAAAATAACAATAAATTTGGCTATAATATAGAGCTTTAAAACTATCATCAAACATACCATCTGCAAAGTCAGCCTGGAGAAGAGGATAGGTATACTGGATTACACAACACAGTTTATACTATTCATGTCTAGAGTTTTTAAAAATCAAGAAAACTAACACTTCCAGCAGAAAGTTAAGCATAGTACACAAGTCACAAAATAAGAAACAAATGGATGGCATATGAAAAGCTACTCATATTGGTCAATAACTGAAGAAATGCAAACAAAAGACTGTAGCACTAATATTACCTAGCAGATAAGCAAAGGTCTAAAGACTTGAGATGACCCTCACAGGAAGAGCGTGGCAACCTGGTATCCCACTTGTGGGCTCAGACTGGCCCCATCTCTCTGTAAGGCAGCAAGTAATAGGGTCTCTGAATTTTCCCTTCAAAGGATTCCTCTTTTAACTTAAAATAATCTTACAAGTGAAAAAAGATACAGACAAACTAAAACTACAAATAGTGAAGGTTGAATATGACCTAGACTCATATGGACGATCAGGTAACTACCTATAGCATTTTCCTTAATAAAAAAATGATATAAATATAGTATCCAAAAAGATCCCAATTAAAGAGCCTGCTAAATAGCTCAGCAGATTAAGTGCTTGCAAGCAGGTGCTGGGGCCAGGGGTTTGATCCCCGGGCCTGCTGCACCAGCCCCACCCCCGGGGCACACTGAAATGGCAATTGAGACTGGGTATGGTGGCACATGCCTGTAATTCCAGCTTTTGAGAGGCTGTAAACAGGAGGATCATTATGAGTCTAATCTAGTAGTGAGACCCTGAACACCCTGTAGACCATACCCTAAAATACAAAAACAAACAAACAAACAAAAAACACCAAAAAGATCCCAATTATTTAAAACCATGTATTAAAGTCTGTCTGGAATGATGTCTCACAAAATACCATCGGTTATATCTGTCAACATGATGTTTTTCTGTGTATATGTTGTTTTTAATTTCTTTTTAATCCAAGTTCTTTTCTTTCTAAAAAATGTTCTATCTGCATTAAACATTCTTTTTGGAGGAAATTAGTAAACAACTATCATGAAGACAATGCAGAAAAAAGTTTCCTAAGGTAGGACAAGAGGAAATAGAGTGCTGAGGACTGGTGTTAGTTCATTAAATTCTGGAGTTGATAGCTGTTTTAGTTTTTTCAATACTATAATAAAATACCTGAAATAATCAATTTATAAAGAAAAATCCTTTATTCTCACTTATCAATTCTGGAGTGTCAGCCCATCTTTGTTTGGCTCTACTGCCTTGGGCCTGTGCAAGGCAGAACATCATGGCATGGAATGAGGGGTGCAGCAAAGGGGTTCACCTCCTGGTGAACTAGAAGCAAAGAGAGCGGGGGGGGGGGGAAGGTACTGGGGTTGCAACAGCACCTCTAAGAGCACACCCTAATGAGCTAGCTTCTTGCCATAGACCCTCACCTGCTAAAACGTCCACCCCTCCCAATAGTACCACCGGTGGGCAACTCATCATTTAACACACGCACCTTTGTGGAATACTCAATATTCCAATTCTACCATCTGAGTCAGGAGTATCCCTAGGACTCTGCAACACCTCCCTGCCTCAGCCATTCTAACAGCATGCTCTACAGATGCCCAGCAACTCTCTGTCCACCCTATCCCCCAGACAAGGAACATGCTTGGGAGAGCCAAGCATGGAACCACAGTCTCCACTGCACCTTGCCCTTCAGTATTCAGATTGGAAAGCATGACCTTACCCATGGTCTGCGTACCCTAAGGCAGAAACTCCAGCACTCTACCCTTTCTCAAATGAATTGCCTCTCAGAAGACTTCCCACAGCAGTGGAGAGGCAAATGCGTATGCAATTTTGTGAGAACATGGCCACAAATACGCTAGTGGTATCGGTTACAGTAAAATTGATAAGGGTAAAAATGCCAGAGCAGCAGAAAACAGGCAGGAGCTACAAGCTCAGCACTCCAAGCTACAGATTCCTGAGCACGTGGACATCCAGAGGGAAGGAGAGACTTAAGAATAGATTTTTGTTGTTGAGAAGAATGTGAATCTAATGCAGCTATTTGTGTCTCATATTAACAGCTGACTGTGGTGCCAGAGGTGCTGAGTATTTGCAATCACTGCCACATAACAAATGAGGAACACACTACCATATTGAACAAGTCATATCACTCCTAAATTTGTTTATCCAGAGGTCTAGGCACAACATTCCTAAAGCAAAGATGTTGGTTCCTTGTATTAGCAGCTGGGCATAGACTCAATAAAAATGCAAACATTTTTTAAAATACTGTTTTATAGTCAGTCATGGTACACACATGTAATTCCAGAACTAGGGAGGCTGAGGCAGGAGTATTCTTACGAGTTTAAGGCCAGTCTGGGCTACAAAGTGAGTTTAAGGCCAGTTTGAACTGCATAGTGAAACCCTATCTCAAAAAGGCAAACCAAGCAAACAAACCAACCTCCAGTTTTATATTTAAAAATAAAAATGTTACACTTCAATATGTTTGATAATATATACTTAAAATATTTCAATAGACACAAGGTTATAGCCTCTTGCCATACCCACTCAAAATGTTGGGGCAGGCGTGGATCACAGAGCACACACCACTCTCTGTAAAGCTCAGCTGCTTCCCGTCCTCCTTGCTCTCGTGAATGTGTAAGTGAGTCCTTGCACACAGGGAGCATTCACCATCCAAGTGGCTGACTGTGAACCCAAACTCAGATGACAACTAGAACCTAAAAGCAAAACCATAGTAACAGGAGAGCTTTCCCAGCCACTAGAGGGCAGGAGTGGAGCAGTTTGTAAGGGAGGTGGGGCCAAGAAAGAGACTGCAGACCTGAACAGAGTTACCCTCCAGTCAAAGCTTGAGGATGTCCCATCTATTAAGGGTAGCATCTCCTGAAAAGCCTGATCCACTTTAGGGGCAGGGTTCTAGGACTGAGGGTTAGCACATAGGCCTCTTACATTTATCATGGCTCTGAGAAGAAGACACTATCCTTTTCACACGAGGTGTCATGTAAAACACCTTATGGTAGGTGAAATATGCCAGACACAGAAGCACAAACACTGTATAATTACACTTGTACAAAGTACTGGGAACAAAGTCATAGAGACAGAAAGCAGAATGGTGTCTTCCAGGGGATGAGGTGAGGGGACTGGAATGAGGATCAGGGGATGGTTCCACAACTGCAAAAGCTACTCAACTGAACACTTATAAAATGGCTCATATGGTAAATCTTACGTTACCTATGTTTTGCCACAATAATCATGAAGGAAACAGTGAAAAGGCTGAATACTCTGAACAGGTATAGGACAGGCCAACAATCAGGTGGAAGGTCCTGCCCTTAGTCCAAGGTCAGGATACTTCTTCTAGCAGAGAATCTGACTGTAACCTTTTGCCACCTAGTGGCTTTGGTGGCTGGGAGAGCTACCAGTCAGGCTGCTTTCTGCCTCAGAGGAGATATTCTTTGAGCATTCAGGATCCAGCCACGCAGCTTCCACACTCTGTGGAAGCTGGTGCACTGTGGCCAAGTTGCTCAGAGTTAACTGTGAGCAAAGCACAACCTCTGAGTGACCTGCCCAGACGCAGACACTCAGCCCATTATTTCTGGAGAGCTGCTCATCTCCAGTCCTAGGTTTCCTTCTGATTCCATGCTGACTGGTCTCAAAGCTAAGGCGGGGGACAATGGGCTCTGGGAAGCTGCCAGATTAGTCATGCAGGGACAAATCCATGTGCAGCCGGAGAGGCCAGCATCTGCTCTGTTTTAGCAACAGGGCAGATCATTCCTCACTACCTCCATACAACTTTTAAAAACACCCGCCCACCTGAAAAGATCAACTGCAATGAAATCTGTTGGGGTAGAAGACACACCACTCAAGTGGGTGGATTGATTTCATCTCGTTTCAGGCGTGGGGTGGGAAGTTATTCAACATGGTAAACAGGATTCCATCTGGTGGGGGGTTTGTTTCTCACCTCAAAACCAACAAGAAGAGGTTAGCAAAGCTTGCCTGGAGCTAGAGAAAGGCTGGGGGCGCTCCAAGGCACACTTTCTTTCAAACTCGCAGGTCCTCCTCCAGTTTAGCAAGCAGCATGCCCAAGCTGATGCAAAACTGAGGTTAGTAGGAGAACGTTCAAGCAACAGGTTAATCACTATTTAGACCAGACCAAAGCACTTGAAAAAAAAAAAAAGAAAAACAATCAGACAGTAAATAATTCAGCATGAAAGGATACAAACTAAATTTGTGTTGTTGGAAGTCAGGAGCCACAACAGTTATGCCAAGCCAACCTCTTTGCTCTGTACCCAAACAATCCACCCTGAAGCTATTTTTTTTTAAATAAATTTTATTGAGAAAGAAATAGCAATGAGACAGTTTTAAAACAGGTATGACAGTGACAATAATTAGCAAACTGCATATTGTTGTCTTCATAGTAGTTATTCATAGTACAAGATGCAGACATATCTTGTCTAAACACTATTATTACAAATCTTTCTTCTCATTGAACTAAGAGAAAGTAGCTGTATATCTATCTGAACTAATTTGTCTTGATGACTTCTCACCTCTTTGTTAAAAACCTATTTCTATCCCCTTCTCTTCCATTCTAGACCCTGCATTCTCAGCCTGTAGCCACAGGATGGTTTCTTTCTCCACTGGGGTCAAGGTACACTCGTTTTGTCTCCTTCCCTAGAACACACCCCAAAGAGACTCTTAGAGCTCAGGAATTTGGCATACAGCTCCTTCCAGGATGCTCTGTTCTCAGCCTCCTGCACCCTGAGCCACTGGTAGCTGGCTTCTTTCACACCTCTGCTCAAGAAGTTTGGCCGTTCTGAGCTGCCCGGCCACAGTAGGCTCCTCTACCTCTTCCCCTACACCTCACTGAATTGTTCCTACGTTGCAAATTGTCATGGAGACATTGTCACATTTCCATTTTATGGTCGCTATCTCATATAACACAGAGATCCTGAAAAGGTAGAGCTGTAACTTTCCACCTGTTTGACCTCACAGTGCAGGCTAAGCATTAATGTGTGAAATGCACACATTACAGTGGGCTGGTCACAAAACGCTCATGAAAAGGGAAATTGAACCAGACTTCTTAGGAAGAATAGAATTTCTCAATTATTACCTTGTGCCTTTTTGGCAGAAACAACCTGAAAATTCTAACAATCAGAAAGAATGCTCTTTACCAGGCACTACTTTAAGGAAATAACAGACACTGTTTGGGTTCAGATTAAGAATGTCCTCCATTGACTCTGTACTCAGAGGCAGGGCCTGTGGAAGGAGACTGGATCACCGGATTGCTTACTCACAAGGTAGGGCCTGGTCAAAAGAAGCAAGGCACTGGGAATGTGACCTGGAAGAGCATATCTCTCTTCTTGTTCCCTTACTTTCTGCTTTCTGGCTGCCTTGACATGAGCAGTTCTCCCCCACCCAGACCCTTTCATCAGGTACTTCCTGGTCTGAAACAAACTGACAATGGACTATAATCATGAATCAAAATAAACTACCTAAAAGAGGATAGGGTTTAAGTGTCAAGTATTGTATCTTAGTGATGAAGAAAGTGACTAAGGCCCCGAAAGAATGCTAGCCTGCTGATTGAGGTCATAAAGTCAGCAATGGCCAAGCCAGGATCCCAACTGAACAGTACAGTTCCAAAACCCACGCCCTCAACCACATCTGCAGCGTCCCCTGGCTTAGCTCCTGTCGCTCACCACCCACAGATGCTTCAGCCCCACAGAGGGGACTTCTTGTTCTCTCCAAGCTTCCAAAAGATTCTTGTCCCAGACATCAACGATGTTTCCACTGCTAACATCAATGGAAACTTCCTATGTGACATTCCACTGAATCATGAGCAGCTCATGATTTAGTACTTTCTCATTCATTATTATCAATAGCAATGAAGAAAGAATCCAGAGTCTCAGAAGCTTTAATAACCAGGAAATACCTAAGCACACAGTGTACCATAGAATACCACTTGGCACACAGCAGCCCACTCCAAGAACAGCACTTACAGTTTCATCTTCCAATTTGAGCTGGAGGCTCTTTTCTCCCTCTTTATAGTCCTTGGTGAGTTCAGCCGAGCGCCACACTTCCTCTGGGTCAGGAATCCAGACCCTTGTGTACTGAAAGATAAGAGAAGAAACTTAAGTACAAAATGGAAGCATTTACGTTTCTGAACACCTATCTAGCGGGGCCCCACCACACAAACTTCTAAAGCCATCTGCACACATCTTTTCCTTCTTTTCAAGACACAAGGTGATCCAATATCATGATAACAGATAAATCACTCACAGGATTGATGGCAGAGGGCACCTTCTAACTCTTAAGAAAACATCACAGATCAATGAAATTAGAATTCTGCCAATGACCACTAAGCATGCATTTGGTTATGTCCACAAGGGTTTGGCATCATCCTCTCAAAGAGCAGTTAAAAAAAGAAAGGAAAAGAAATGTCAGAAGAAAGATCTAGCATGCTAAAAGCAACAAAACAATGCATACAAAAGCCAACAGCTTAGAGAAAATCTTTGCCCTTTGGGAAGCCCTGCTCTGACACTCTACATTCAGGGGTCAAGTCATTTTCCCACAGAAGTAAAAGTAGTCAACAAACTCAATGCATACTTCAGTATCCCAAGTTCTCAGCCACTTAGATTTGTGTGTGTGTGTGTGCATTCTTTCAGCCACAAACGTAACACAAAATTCTTACTCCATATCCCCCAGTTGCTGTCCTGATTTTTTTGTAGGCATCTGAGTTAGAAATGTTACAGGCAGTCAGACAGTGCTGGGCCCCCAAAGGACCCAACATGGAAGACAAGATACCTTGCAACTGTGGGAGAGATCAGGCACCTTCACTGTGGGGCAGACCTCAAAACAAAAGGCAAAACAAATGCACCCACATACCTAGGGATGGGCATCAGGGATTGACATTCTAACTAGATATCAATCACCTTGAAAAAGCCAGGAAGACTCACTAGCCCAACTCCCTACAGGAAGAGCCCCTGTTCAGTATGCAGGCCAGCCTGCTCCATGACTCAGTTGCCCCTTTGATCCCAATTTAATCAATTTTACCTGAGCAATGATGCTTGCAATCTTATTGGTTGACCATAGTTTTGCCCCGCCTCATGCCCACTTTACAAGTTCCCATGTTTCCCACCATAGACGTGCCTCACCTCCTGGTTTTGCTCTATAAAATCCCTAGAAAAGGCAGGCTCCTGGGCAACCCACTCAGGTCCCCTTCTGTCTCTCTCCCAAACAGAAGCTTTCTTTTCCTAATAAATATATTCTGCTCTTAACCTCCACTGTCCCTAAAATTCATTCTTCAGCTTTAGAGAATATGAACTCATCCCAGACAACTTTCAGGCTGAGAGTTTCTTCCCCCTAAGTCAGTTTGGCCAAGTTCTGGCAGGAAAGAATGCAGGCCCTTTGGGTGGGTAGGAACACAGGACGTAGGAGCCTTCAGGGATATGCTGGGTACATTCTCTACTTAACTCCGATTCTCGGCCCTTGCTGCACACTACAATCATCCAGGAAAAGCTCTGAAAACATAAGTTCTGGGTTCCACCTCGCTAGTCAGGGCCTGGGGAGACAGAAAAGGTCCTGAGGAAAGACAGGCATGAGATTCTCCCATCTGCAGCATTTAGCTTTACTATTACCATCCTTGGTCTTGCCTTTGATACAGCTGCCAAATTTCTGAATTGTCTTCTCCTAGATAAGGGATTTCCCCAGGGCTCCTCTGCTTTAGAAATCATGTATATGTTCAATTTTTGTATCATAGAATATTCTTAACAAACTGTAACAAATGGCTCCTTTGCCCAAAAGTTCAGCCAGAATGTATGCTTGAGGCAGAATAATCCACACCTCCTCAGTTCAACAGCAGTTTTAAACACAGGCCTTATGGCCAGTCAGCTACCTGTGCAAGGCAGCCAGCTGGCTTTATCTGGGTCCTGCCTCTTTTTTTAAAAAAGACAGTAGTTTCCTCCAGGTGGTCACTGGTGCTTTTCTGTTTTTTGAAGAAAAACCCTGACTCCTGCCATACTTGTTTCTAATTCACTATACAGCAGCAAAAGTCCTCAAGCAACACAATCAGAACACTAATCAATGAGAAGGAAAACATCAACTTTTTTTATATCTTTCACATTCTGGCCCAGGGTAGGCAGCCAAAGTCTTTTTAGGTTGTGTGTGTGTGTGTGTGTGTGTGTGTGTGTGTGTATTGTTGTTGGTTTATTGTTGTTGTTTTTCCTGGCATTACAATGTAGTCTCATGAATCATAACCTCTCTGTGCCCCAGGCCTGTCCCAAAGCATATTACTGTACTTTATAGTAATATACTAAAATACTTTATAAAATCAAAGAACTTTATAAATGTAGTATCTGAGAGTTTCTGAGTAAAATACAATCTCTAGAGAAAACTTCGAGCATTCACCAACCTCAGCAGCCAGCATGCTTTTTCCACTCAGGTGTTTTAGCTGGCCTTCTCCATGATCATCTAAGCCCACCACTACTCCACAGCAAGTGGAAAATGCTGTCCTTATGCTTCGGATGAGCTTCCTTTCTCCCCATGATGGCTTTCTGGTCACTGTGCAGAATTATGTTTTAGAATGTCCCTTTCTGTCAGCACATTGAAGAAAGTTTACCCAAAGCAAAGTCTCCACTCAATGTAAATGATGTCCAGAATGGCTCAAGATAACACTAGGACAAATAAACAAGAGCAAAAGAACCAAAATATAGAGGAAATCCAAGCAGATACAGAATGAAAGTGATGTGTGGACACTGAGGTCAGCAGGCCCAGTCCCAGCTCAGCCACAGCCTTGTGTGGCCTCCCTCGCCACAGCCCACGTGTCAGCCCCAGGAGAATCTGCTGCCTGCCTGCTTCCTCTGTTCAATTCCAATTTGAGAGAACACATTTATCTTTCAATTTATATAAATCTCTCTTCTCAAAGTAGACTGAACTACCTGGTAGTAGAAGAACCAACACAGTTAAAATGACCATATTCCCAATGCTGTTATAGAAATTTAACACAATCTCAATCAAAATGCCCTTAGCATACCTCACAGATCTAGAGAAAACATTGCTAATATTCATCTGGAACCAGTAGAGACCTAGAATTGTGAAAGCAATTTTGGGCAACAAAGGCAAGGTAGGAGGCAACACATTCCCTGAAATTATACTACAAATCTACTATGATAAAATCAGCTTGGTATTGGGGAAAAAAAAAAAAAAAAAAAAAAAAGACTGAGGATAAGTGGCACAAGTCAGAATATACACAACTCCAAACACATACTCTCCCACCTTACTTTTGACAAAGAAGCCGAACGAGTTCATTGCAAAAAAGCTATCCTCTTTAATAAATGCTGGAAACACTAGCTGTCTACATGCCAGAGACTAAAACTAGACCATTGCTATCACCATGCACTAAAGTCATAATGGATCAAAGAAATAATTATTAAGACAGAAACACTGAATCTACCAGAAGAGAAAATAGGTATAAACTATGAAGGCATAGATGTAGGAAAAAAATTCATGAACAAAATCCAAACTGCATAGGAAATACTCCAAAGAATCAACAAACGGGTTCTCATCTCATTTTATTAAAAAGTTGTGGCACACCAAAAGAAATCACCAACAGAGTGAAAACACAACCCAGGGAGGGGTTGTCCCTCAGACAAATGACTTGAATCTAGCAAATATAAAGAATTGAAAAAAATTAGACCTTCCAAATTTAAAGACCCAATCCAAAAATAGGCATCTGAGATTAATATATACTTCTCAGATGAAGAAATACAGACAGGAAACAAATATCAGAAAACATATTTGACAGCATTGGTCATTTGAGAGATACAAATTAAAACACCGAGATTTCATCTTACACCAGAAAGCCCGGCTATCATCAAGAAGTCAACAAATAACAAATGCTGGATGGGCTGTGGGGAAAAATAAACTCTTTTCCACTGTTGGTGGGAGTGTAGACTGGTGCAACCACTATGGAAATCCGTGTGGAGACTTCTCAAAAAGCTAAAATTGGAGGTCCTATGCAACCCAGATATTCCCCTCCTGCATATTTTTCCAAATGAACTGAAAACATTGTACCACAGCAATATATGTGCACCTGTGTTTATAGCACTGTAATTTGTCAGAGCTGAATCTTGGAAATGACCCAAATGCCCATCAGCTGAAGAATGGATAAAAAAGATGTGGTATTTTTATATAATAGAATACTATTCAGCTATAAAGAAGGATAAACTTGAGACATTTTTAGGTAAATGGATGCAAATTGAATAAGGGTTTTTTTTTTTTTTTTCCTTCCTCGAATGCCTTCAGGGCACTTTTGGCCAGCGGGAGAGTTGTGAGGTTCGAACTCCAGGAACCTGAGGCTGACAGCTTTGTGGAAGCAGCCACTTAAAGGACTGAGCTAGGGCCAGGACCCCAATGGATGCAAATTGAGAACACACTCATAAGTGAAATAAATCAGTTTTGCAGGTGTAAACATCATATCGTCTAATGTATGAAGCTGAAAAAGTAAATAAGAGCCAAAATGTATAGTATATATTGGAAAATAGGAAGAAACTGTTCAAAGGAAAGAGAAACTGGGATGTAGCAGGGAGAAAAGGAGGAAAAGGAAAATTATATATGCACAAGATAGTTAAGATAGTTATACTACTAATTTCTATTAGTTCATTGAAAAGAAAGATTCTTATACTATTTGATCAATTTTTCATGCCTATACCTTGTAATCTGTCCAACTACTTTGAAGATAATAAACCAAATACTATTGTTACTCTCCTGTCATGGTTTGAAATTTTGTATCATTGCGTTTCATGTTTTTTCTCTTTAAAATAAAATAAAAGTACCTGGTAGGTAGAAAAGTGAGTTCTGTATTTTCCCGTTTCCACAAAAACCAATCAAAGCCTCGTGAGTATAGTAAGGTCCTCAGGACCCTATATTTAGCTCTTTGCTCCTTCCTGTGAGGACCTCGGCATCACAGAGCCTCAGCCTTCCCCCAGGCCCACGCAGTCAAGACCTGCGTGTCTGCTCCTACAACATAGTCTCTCACTCTGCACCTTCAGATGGGTTGGCAAGCCACTGCTGGAGGCCAGAGCTGGCATGGTGCCTTTTGTTGTAAAATCTA